AAAAATTTTTTTTTTTTTTTTTTTCGGGTTTTTAGGGTTTAGGGTTTAGGGTTTAGGGTTTTGGTAGGACCTGGAATAAGGGAAAGATGATAAACCCTAATTGAGGGTTTAGGGTTTATATACCTGTTCGTATAATTCTTGTTGTATATCCTCAGATAAACTTGTTGTTGCTGCAACCCTCAGCACTTCGTCCCATCTACCTTGATGAACATTTCTTACGAATTTATCTACACTTTCTACAGAATTCAGTGCAACACCGCTCTCTTCTTGCAGCATCTGCAGCAGCAGCAGCAGCAGCAGCAACAGCAGCGGGAGTAGCAGCAGTAGAGGGAGATGCAGCAGCAACGCATTATATATATTCTACAGAAAAAACGGATCTAAATTATGCCATATATCTACAGATATCATACAATTAGGGTTTAGGGTTTAGGGTTTAGGGTTTAGGGTTTACTTGAACACTTCTAGGGAGATTACTCTCCGCAAGGAATTGAAGAATTAGACGAATCACACTACAAACAACACAACACAAATAAATAAATCCTTAAAAACCCTAAACAATAAACCCTAAACCCTAAACCCTAAACCCTAGATGGTTATTTTGTTGGGGTGTATAGGCACCTACTCTGCAGATTCAATTTCAACGTTTTGCGACATTTTCTTTTCCCTTTTGTTGTTTTTCCTTCTTTATATTTATTTAATTTATTTTTTTTCTTTTTCTTCCTTTTTCCCTGCTGAATCTAATGAATAAGGAGCTCCTGCTCCTGCTTTTGCTGCTGCTGCTCCTGCTGTTGCTGTTGTTGTTATTCTTGCTGCTGTTTCCTTCTACGGCATATATCTGCGGTGTACAGGCAGCTGCAGCTATGATCAAAATGACAAGAAAAATCAAATAAATAGGGAGTTGTTGTTATTTCCTCTAAATGCTGCAGGTAAAAAGGAGGAAAAAAAGAAAAAAAAATCAGAAGAAGCGCCAAGTTTCGGGTGTATAGGCAGCTGTTCAGGTGTACAGGCAGCTATAGGGGTGCAAATGCACTCTCCTAGGTATAATGAGCCCATTAAAATCCCCTTTCTTTGGTTTATTTAATTAAATAATTAAAAAAAAGAATTGAAAAAAGAAGAAAAACAGAAAAAACAAAAACAACAATGCATAAATAGGTATATAATAAGGGGCCTCTTACCCCAATGAATATATACCGTGCTTTTTTTTCCTGTGTTTTCTTCCCGTTATAAGGAAGAAGAATCCATTAAATTAAAGCAAATCAATTAAATTAATTAATTATTTAATTAATTTAATTAACTAATTCTATTTATTTATTTATTTTTATACAAAAAAGGTATACAGACAGATATTCAATATTCCCCTAGTTGCACAGACGCATGCATGCATGCACGGGGCCCCCCGAGCATATTTTGGGGCTTTATTTTCTTTATAAGAAAATATACTTTTTCCCTACTTTTTCCTCTTTTTACCCTTTATTTATGCTTGTTATAACCCTATTTAACTAATTAACACCATAAGGAGCATTAATATGAATATTGTTGTCTATTTATATCCCTTTATTATGTATTTATATAGTATCTTTTTCCTCTATATATACATTAGATCTATTAATTAAGGAAATATATATTTAATTATTCTTGTTATTTTCTCTTCTTTGTTGCTGCATGCATGCAGTACTCCTCTCCTCCCTTTTCTTCTCTTTATTTATTTATTTATTTATTTATTTATGTATTTATTTATATATAACTAAGTTTATTATCGTATTGATGTGCTGCTATGAGGTGTATGTACACCCTAAAGTTATATGCTGCAGCAGGGGTTAGATGCATGCAACCCCAAACCCTAAACCCTAAACCCTAAACCCTAAACACTTTCATATCCCTATTAGACTGCCATTAACAAACTCGTGCTGCATGCACGACCTTCCTATAGAATGTCCTGCAAACCCTAAACCCTAAACCCTAAACCCTAAACCCTTTCTTAACCATTGAAGACTTCCCCCTTTATTAGATAGGTAGAGGAAGGAAATCTTTATAAGACGGAGAGCAGCAACTGCCGTTGCTGCAGGTGCTTGCTGCAGCAGCAGCAGCAGCAGCAGCAGCAGCAGCAGCAGCAGCAGCAGCAGCAGCAGCAGCAGCAGCAGCAGCAGTAGAGTCCCTAATAAAAACAAATAAAAAATAAAAATAAAATATTCATTAATAAATACCATTAAAGGAAAAAGACAACAAAGAAATAAATAATTTAATTAAATAATAATTTAATTACTTATATTCTTACGAGCAGCAGCAGCAGCAGCAGCAGCAGCAGCAAGGCATGCATATATATATAAAGGATATATAAAAGGAGACAATCATTGATTGTCTGTTAATATCTTCTTGTTGGGGTTTAGGGTTTAGGGTTTAGGGTTTAGGGTTTATAAAAATAAAAAGATTTTGTTACTCAATGCACAGCAAACTTCTTCTCCTGCATAATGAGTCTGTTTATCCATTAATAAACCCTAAACCCTAAACCCTAAACCCTATGCCCATTAAAAAAGCCTAAACCCTAAACCCTTGACATAAAGATGAGTACTGTTTGTTGTATAATCCCTTCCCTGCTGTTATTCTTCTCCCTTTTTTTTTTAGGGTTTAGGGTTTACGTTATTCTTTTCTCTCTTTTGTATATGGATATCCATACTTAGGGTTTAGGGTTTATGGCTCTTTTTCTTTATATATATATTTGTAGGGTTTAGGGTTTAGGGTTTAGGGGTTTTAAGGTATAAACCGCTCTTTTATAATCAATACATGCCTTATTAGGGTTTAGGGTTTAGGGTTTAGGACAACACAGGAGAATTTATTTATTTATTTATTTATTTATTTATTTGTTTATTTATTTATTTATTTACTTATTTACTTATTTATTTATTTATTTATTTATGTTTGCATGCGGGGCTTTCTTATAGTTATATTGCACGCAAAAGAAGAAAGGAAAGGGGTTTTCTTTCTTGTTAGACCTGTAAACCCTAAACCCTAAACCCTAAACCCTAAACCCTAAACCCTACATAGACACCAACTGGTATAGATACTCCTATACCCTCTGCATGCATTGCACTGTACGAGCAAGTAAACCCTAATAAACCCTAATAAAACCCTAATTAACCTTAATAAACCCTAATAAACAATAATAAACCCTAATAAACACATAACCCTCCATAAACCCTAACATCGATACAAGCCACACCCCTAAACCCTAAACCCTAAACCCTAATTGGCTCGATACCCTACATAATAAACCCTACACCCCTAATAAACCCCAAACCCCAACTCTATAACATTTATAAACAATCTAATACCCTAAACCCTAATCCTTAAACACTAATCCTTAAACCCTAAACCCTAAACCCTAAACCCTAAACCCTAATCTCGAAACCCTAAACCCTTGCTGTTTGTTTTTTCTGCGAGGGGAAACAGTAAATAAAATAAGAATAAAAATAAAAAGAAAATAAATAAAATAAAATAAATAAATAAATAAAATAAATAAAAGAAAAGAAAAAAAGAATAAATAAATAATTTATAACAATAAAAGAAAGAAGAAAAAAAGAAGAAAAAGAAAGAAAGAAGGAAAACATGGCGGGGCCTCCATTAGGGCTTTTATGCATTTCTTTGTTTATTTTCTTCTTTTTTTTAGATAAAAAAGGATAAATAAAATATAATTTAATTATATTTAATTAAATAAATAAAATAATTCCTTTTTTTCTCCTTTTTCTTCCTTTTCTTCCTCCCCTCCTTCTCTTCCTTGCTGCTCCTCCTTGGGGGCCCCGTAGACCTCCTTATACAAATGATGAATTGTTAACCAATTGAGGTGTACGTACACCTCAGCTACCCCACACTAATAAAGAAAAAGAATAGAAGTACAGTGCTTGCTGCTGCTGCTGCTGCTGAGGAACCTCCAGTAGCAGCAGCTGCAGCAGCAGGAGCAGCAGCAGCAGCAGCAGCAGCATCGAGACCTAGAAAAGATGCCGCCGTCATCTAAGCGAAGTTGTGGCGATGGTGTTAGTCTTGCTGCAGCAGCACCATCAGCAGCAACAGCAGCAAAAGGTTCAACAGCAGGAGCAGCAGCAAAAACAAAAACAGCAGCAGCATCAACAGCTGCAGCTGCAGCAGCAGCAGCAGCTGCAGCTGCTGCTGCTGCTGCAGGAGGGCAGCAGCTGTCTCTCCCTCAATTAGCTTCCTCTATTTGCCTTAGGCCTCCTATAGAAGAAATTCTTCTTTTTCTGCAGCTGCTGCAGCAACAGCTGCACCGCAAACCTGCTGCTGCTGTTGCTGCTGCTGCTGCTGCACCAGCAGCAAATGCAGCAACAGCAACCGAGGCAGGAACAGCAGCAGCACCTACAGGCGCCTCAACGCCGTTCAGCCGCTGTCGCCACCTTCACAGTGTCTACAGCAGCAGCAGCAGCAGCAGCGCATGCAGCAGCAGCAGCAGCAGCAGCAGGAGTTGGTGCGTGTGTTCCTACAACTGGCCGCTGCACAGCCCTAGGACCAATGCAGCAGCAACAGCAGCAACAGCAGCAGTAGCAGCAGCAGCAGCTGATGCAGCAACAGATTGTGGGGAGAGCAGTTCCGCTTCTGCTGCTGCTGCTGCAACAGCAGCAGCAGCAGCAAATGTTGGTTACTGTTTGCTGCAGCAGCAGCTACGTAAACTAAAGAAGCAAAAGGGTAATGTTCCTCATGAGGATTTGCTGCTGCTTGCTGCACTGCTGTCTTTGCTGCAGCAGCAGCGCATGCATGCATTAGATTTGCCTGTTATACTTGACGTAGGCTACCGTGTGCTGCAGCAGCAGCAGCAGCAGCAGCAGCAACAGCAACAGCAGCAGCGTCAGTCCTCTGAGGGAGAGATGCAGCGCAGGTCTTGCTGCTGCATTTCTTGTGGTTGCTGCAGTTTGCTGCTGCTGCTGCAACTCATTCGTGCTGCTGCTGCTGCTGCTTCTGCTGCTGAGGTTGCTGTTGGTCTTCCTGCTGCAGAGGCTGCTGTTCGTTTTGCTGCTGCTGCTGCTGAGCTGCTGCTAGCAGCATCACGCAGCAGCACCGCTAGTCCTCCTTGCTGCTGCTCTTCCTCCTGCAAAGGGACTGCCATAAGCAGCAGCAACAACAGCAGCAGCAACAGCAACAGCAGCAGCAGCTGCTGCTGCCGCTTCGTGCTGCTGCAGGGTGTCTGCAGCGCAGCAAATCATTTGCTGTCTTGTCTTCATTTGCTGCTGCCAGAAGCAGCACAAAGACGTCTAGTCCTTCTTCTCTGTGCTAACAAGAAGCAGCAGCAGCAGCAGCAGCAGCAGCAGCAGCAGCAGATGGAGAAGCAGCAGCAGCAACAGCAGCAGGTGGCAGGCAGCAGCTCGCCTCTTGAGTTGCTGCTCAGCGCATTGGGTCTATCAACGTTGCTGCAGCAGCAATCTGGCGCATTCCTCTGCAGCAGCAGCAGCAGCAACAACAACTGCAGCAGCAGCAGCAACAGCAGCAGCAGCAACCGTCTGGATCTGCTGTGTACAGACAGCGCGCTGCTGCTGCGGCGGATGGTGGGGAGGCCAGCAGCAGCAAGTCTTGCTGCTGATTTGCTGCAGCGGCAGCAGCAGCAGCAATATAATGAATTGCTGGACTCTGCTGCTGCAGCAGCAGAAGCAAGAGAGCATACACGGCTGCAGCAACTGCTGCAGCAGCACCAGCAACAGCAACCAAAGCAGCAGCAGCAGCAGCAGCAGCAGCAGCAGCAAGATGTCTTATCAATATTTCAGGCACCGCACAAGGGAGAAATAGCAACGCATGCGCAGCTATTTGCTGCTGTTGCTGCAGTAGTGCAGCAGCAGCAGCAGCAACTGCATGCATTGTCTACAGCAGCAGCAGTAGCAGCAGCAGCAGGGGAGATAAATATAAAAGAAAGGGTTTGCTCTTTGCTGCCAGCAGTGGGGTTGCTGCAGCAGCTGCCTGATGTTGCTGCGCTGCTGCTGAATAGTGTATGTGATGCATGCACGGATGCAGCAGCAGCAGCAGCAGCAACAGGAGCAACTACAGGAACAGGAGCAGCAGCAACAGCAGCAACAACAGCAGCAACAGCAGCAGCAGGACCAGAAGCAGAACGTGCTGCACATCATGTTGCTGCTCTTGATGCTGTCTTGCTGCTGCTGCTGACGTTGGACCCTTTGCTGCAGCAACCTGTTGCTGCTATACCAGCCTATAAACAGCAGCAGCAGCAGCAGCAGCAAAAGCAGCAGCAGCAGCAGCAGCTAGAGTTGCTGCTCCGTCTTGAGACTATTCGATGGGGAGCAGCTGTGCGAGCGTGGCGCCAGTAAGTTGCTGCTCTTGCTGCTGCTGTTGCTGCTGCTGTTGCTGCTGCTCTTGCTGCTGTTGCTGGTGCTGCTGCACTTGTATAAGGGCTACCGTTGTCGTTCTTGCTGCTGCTTCTCTTGCTGCTGCTGCTGCTGCATTGCCTTCCTCCTATTAATATGTATATCTCCTGTTACTGCTGCTTGTGCTGCTGCTGCTGCTGCTGCTGCTGTGGGGTGTCTGTGCAGGTTCTGCTGCAGCAGCTTCTTAAGTCCCCGCCTATCTACCCATCGTCGTTATTTTTCTTTTTTATTTTCTTTTTGCTGCCGCTGCTTAATTCAGGTGTATCTGCTGCTGCAGCAGCTACAGGTCTATTTATATCCTGCTGCTGCTGCTCCTGCTGTTCCTGCTGCTGCTGGTAGTAGTAGTAGTAGTAGTACTGCAGCAGGGACACCAATGGATATCCTTAGGTGTATGTACACCACAAATAGGCAATTGTCTCCCTCTTTGCTGCTGCTGCTGTGCGAGCTGCTGCGGTGTCTGTGGGGTGGCGCTGCGCTGCTGCTGCAGCTGCAGCCCCGTACCTTTGAGGGTTTATTACCTTATATACTTGTGCTGCAGCAGCAGCAGCACGTGCTGCTGCATGCAGCAGCAGCAACAACACCACAACATAAACTTATGTCTTCTCTTGCTGCTAAGGGAGGAACAGCAGGAATAGACATCATTGCTGCATCAGGAAGGTAATTCTTGCTGCTGCTGCTGCTGCTCCTCCTCCTCCGCCTCCTGCTGCTGCTGCTGCATGCATTTTGCTGCTTGTGTGGGTGTGGGGTGTATGCATGCAGCGAGGAGTTCTTGCAGCTATTGGGGTGTACGTACACCCGGATGAAGGATGTATCTGCTCTATTTGCTGCTATAGAACGTCACGTAGGAGCAGCAGCAGCAGCAAGCAGCAGCAGCAGCAGCAGCAGCAGCAGCAGCAGCAGTTCTACCTTAGCAACAAGAGCAGCAGCAGGAAATCTGCTGCTGCAGGAGATGCAAAGGAAGATTGGCGCTCTCTCTGCTGTCTCACGACCTCCAAGTTAGTTAATAAATAAATAAATAAATAAATAAATAAATAAATAAATTAAATAAATAAATTAAATAAATAAATAAAATAATAATAAATAAATAAACAAATAGATTTGTTGTGTGTCTTCTTCTTGCTGCATCTTTTCTTCTCCCGCCTTACCTGCTTATACACTCCACCTTGCTGCTGCTGCTGCTGCTGCTGCTGTTGCTGCTGCTGCTGCTGCTGCTGCTGCTGCAGAGGGTTGTCTATCATTTGCCTTGAGGTCTTCCTTTGAGGAGACTGTCTCCTCAGCAGCAGCAGCAGCACTTGCTTCTCAGGTCCCGCTGCTGCTGCAGCGCATGCAGCAGCTGCTGCAGCACTGTACAACAGCATTAATGCAAGGATTTGAGAGGCAGCAGCAGCAGCAGCAGCAGCAGCAGCAGGATGGCGTCCTTCTTGCTCCTCTAGCTATTAATGCAGCAGCAGCACAACTCATGGTTGGTGCTTTCCTCCGCGGGCTGCAGCAGCAGCCGCTGCAGCAGCAGGAGTTGCTGCTGCATGCATGTCTTGAATCTCTACCTGCTGCTGTTGCTCCTATCGTTGAGCTGCAGCCGTTGCTGCAGCGACTAGCTGCAGCAGCCAACCAGCAGCAGCAGCAGCAGCAGCAGCAGCAGATGGTCTTGCTGCTGCAGCTCCTATTAAGGAGTAGAGATTCCCTCCGCCTATCTATCTGTTTGCTGCTGCGGCATGTGCGCTCTTTTGCTGCTCCTCTTCTTGCTTTAGCTGCACCTCCAGCTGCAGCAGGAGCCGCAGCAGCAGCAGCAGCAGCAGCAGCTGCTGCTGCTGCTGCTGCTGCCTTGCCGAAGGAGGCGAGTGCTGTTGCTATATCAGAGGCAGTCCTCTGTGTCTCGCAGGCTACACGGGCTCTGCAGCAGCAGAAGCAGCAGCAGCAGCAACTGCAGCAGCAGGTGGTGCTGCAGCTGTCTCAGGGCGAAGCCTCGACAGAGACCGAAGTGCAACAGCAAGAGGAGCAACAGCAGCAACAGCAGCAGCAGGATAGGCAGCAGAGGCAGCTGCAGCAGAAACAGCGGCAGCAGCAGCAGCAGCAAGCACTTTTCCAGATCCACCAGCAGCAGCAACTCCTGCAGCAGCAGCAAACACGAGCGCTGCAGCAGCTGGAGCAGCTGCTGCTGCTTGATTTGCTGCAGGAAGTTGCTGCAGACCCTCAGCAGCAGCAGCAGCAGCAGCAAGAACAGGAGCAGCAGCACAAGCAGCGGAGAAAGAGGCAGCAGCAGCAGCAGCAGGAATCTAGCATCGAAGAAGCAACAGTTTCTGCTGCCAGCAAAGCAGCAGTGCTGCTGCTGCTGCTGCAGCAGGAAGTAGGCATGCAGCAAATGAGGAGACGCACAGCTCGTCTGCTGCTGCAGCATATCCACGCCTTCTGCTGCTGCAGCAGGGATATTGCTGCAGCAGCAGAGGCCCGCTGGCTGCAGCCGCACCTGCCGCTGCTGTTCTCCCTTGTTCCTGCTGCTGCAGCAAAAGCAGCAGAGACGCATGCATGCATTAATACCAGCAAGAATATAGATGCATGCACCTTAGAGGGTGCAGCAAAGCGCTGCATGCAAGACCCGCTGCATGCAGCAGAAACAGCAGCAGCAAATGCAGCAGCAGAAGCAGCAGCAGCAACTGGGGATGATGATGCTGCTGCTCCTGCAGCAGCAGCAGCAGCAATTGCTGCTGCTACAGCTGCTGCACAGCAAGTTGTGCTGCAGTGGATGCTGCCTCCTGCACTGCTAGAGGAGAGACAAGCTGCTAATCTGCTGCTGCTTCGTGCTGCTGCACTGATCCAATCAGCAGCAGCAGCAGCTGCTGCTGCTGCTGCCGATGATGAGGAAAGCTCAGCAGCAGCAGCAGCAACAGCAGCGGATACGCTTCCCCAGAAAAAGCAGCGAATCAGCAAAGAGAGGGGGCATAATGGTGCTGCTGCTGCTGCTGCAGCAGTAGCACGTGCATGCAGCAGCAGAATAGCAGCAGTTGCTTCTGTAAGGGAAATAAGTTTGGGGCTGGTTAACAAACTCCCTCCTGAGGTTTGTGCATGCGCTGCTGCTGCTGTGCTGCAGCAGCTTGCTGCTGCTCTGTGGGGTGCGCTGCAGTCTATAACGGGTTTGCTGCAGCAGCAGCAGCAGCAGCAAGGCCTGCTGCTGCTGCAGCCGGAGGAGCGAGACCACGTCATCAGTGCTGCTGCAGCTGCCAGCAGCGCACTGCGCGAGGTTTGCTGCTGCGGATCTGCTGCAGCAGCAGCAGCAGCAGCAAGCCTGTGGGCAGAAGGAGCACAGCCACAGGGATGGGGGCTGCAGCAGCTTCTCTCTTCCCTGGCGCTTGCTGCAGCAGCTGCTAGCAGCAGCAGCAGCAGCAGCAGCAGCAGCAGCAGAAGCAGCGTTATAGCAGAAGTGTTAAGGACAGCAGAAGCAACAGCAGCAATTTTGTGGGCTGCTGCTGGGGCAGATGCAGCAGCAGCAGGTAAAGGACCGGCTGCTGCTGTTGCTGCTGCTGCTGCATTGCTGCTGCCGCTGCCTACAGGAGATGCTGCTGAACAGCAGCAGCAGCAGCAGCAGCAGCAGAAGCAGCTAATGAGAGCCTTGCGTAAGAACGATACAGAAGCGCTGCTTTGCTGCTGCAGCAGCGCAGCAGCAGATTTTGCTGCACGTGTAGCGCATGCAACGAACAGCAACGAGAGCAGCAGCAACAGCAACAGCAAGCAGAAGAAACAGCAACTGCAGCAACTGCAGCAGCTGCTGCTGCTAACAGTATTCAGCTCATTGAATACTTTTGCTGCAGCATGGGCAGAGCCTTTCCGGCTGCTGCTGAAGCCACAGCAGCAGCAGCAGCAGCAGCAGGGGTTGCTGCAGGAGCTGGTTGCTGTGCTGCCCACGGATACACGTCAATCTCTGCTGGCTGTTGTTGCTGCTGCTGTTGCTGCTGCTGTAGATGAGCAGCTGACGGTCGCCTCCGTCCTAAGTCTTGCAGGTGCTGCTGCTGCAACACCAGCAGCAGCAACAGCAGCTAGAGAAGCAGCAGAAGGAGCAGCAGCAGCAGCTGCTGCTGCTGAGTCTAGCTTGAGCAGCAATTGCTTACATGTAGCAGCAGCATTATTGGATTTGCTGCGGCAGCAGCAGCTGCTGGGGGCCTGGGTGCTGCAGCGCAGAGCAGCAGCAGCAGCAGCAACAGCTTCTGCTGCTGCTGCAGAAGCTGCTGCTGCAGATGATGCATCAGAGGCAGAAGAAGACCCTGAAGAGGCTGAGGAGGATGCAGAGCAGCAGCAGCAGCAGCAGCAGCAGCAGCGGAAGCAGCAGCAGCAGCAGCTACCGCAACAGGAACAGGCAAAGATGTCTGCACTAATAGTCTACCGCTGCAGTGTACGTACACCTGGATCTCTTTTGCTGCAGCAGCAGCAACAGCAGCAGCAGCAGCAGCAGCAGCAGGTACGCCCCAAGAAGCTCCTTCAGCTGCTTGACAAGCTGCAGCGGACTCTCCTTGCTAACGGCAGTAGGGGAGACTCTGCTGCTGCTGCTGCTGCTGCAGCAACTGCAGCAGCAGCAGCAGACGGCAGTGTCCGCCTTCAGCGCAGCTGCATGCGTTTGCTGCTGCTGCTATGCACACACTGGAGCGGTGCCATGAAACACTTTGCTGCAGTAGAAAAGCAGCAGCAGCAGCAGCAGCACCAGCAGCAAGAGGAACAGCAGCAGCAGCAGCAGCAGCAGCATAATGACCACGGGGTATGCAAGAGTTTAATGTCTAGACTAACAGATTTGCTGCTGCAGACAACAAAGAAAGAGTTGCAGCAGCATGTTGCTGCTGCTGTTGCTGCTGCAGCTCCTGCTGCAGCAGCAGCATCCTGTGGTGGTGCAGATGTTGCAGGTATTGCTGCAGTTACCCCTGCAGACATGCAACAACAGCAGCAACGGCAGCAGCAGCAGCAGCAACGGCAGCAGCAGCAGCAGCATGCTGCATCAACAGGGCCTTGCTTCGAGGCCCTACAGGATCTTCTTGCAGTTGTGCTGCAGCAAGAGCAGCAAACAAGTCTACAAGAATTCTCCTGCTTCTATCTACCTAGCGACCAGTAAGGGTTTAGGGTTTAGGGTTTAGGGTTTAGGGTTTAGTGTTTGCATGCATTTACTGTTGCTATATAAGACCCTCCTGCTGCTGCTGCTGTTGCTGCTGCTGCTGTTGCTGCTGCTGCTGTTGCTGCTGCTGCTGCCTTTGCTTCGCATATATAAATATGTGGTATCTATCTGCCTCTTCATACATTTATCTGCTGCTGCTGCTGCTGCTGCTGCTGCTGCTGCTGTGTTGTGCTGCTGCAGCTGTTGGGCAGCAGTCGTGGTTGGTCTTCCTGTTCCTTTATTAGGGCAAGTTGCTGCACATATAACTTCTTCCTTAGAGTCTATACTAGCTACCCTGCAGCAGCAGCAACAGCAGCAGCAGCAGCAGCAGCAGCAGCAGCAGCAGCTGGAGGAGGCAGTGCTGCAGGCAGCAGGCTGCGCACAAGCCTTGTGGGCTTTGCTGCTGCAGCGAGCAGAGCTAACGCGCTGCTTGCGGCAGCAAAGTAAGCGCAGCAGCTTGCTGCAGCAGACTCTGCTTGCTGCTGCACAGCTGCTGCAGCAACTGCTGCAGCATCTACAACAGCTCCAGCTGCAGCAGCAGAACCAGCAGCAGCAGCAGCAGCAGCAGCAGAGATTATCCTGTTTATTAGCTTGGTGCTGCTGCCGCTGCTCCCAAGTATTAGCAGAGACTTACCGTTGTTGCTGTCTTCTTGCTGCCAGCAAACGATCAGCAGCAAGACACACAGCAGGACAGCAGCAGCAGCAGCAGCAACTGCAGCAGCAGCAGCAGCAGCAGCAGCAACTAGAAGGAGTTGCAGATGTAATGATGGAGTTCGCTAGAGGGACAATTGAATTTGCCCAAGCAGACGATGCAGCAGCAGCACCCTGTTGCCCTCAGCAGCAGCAGCAGCAGCAGCAGCAACAGCAGCAGCAGCAGCAATTAGGGAATATATTTGGCCGTGCTGCCCTAAGGAGCTGCAGCATAATCCTTGTGTCTCTATGGAAGTCTCATGACTTTTCTCCGCTGCAGCGGCAGCAGCAAACTGTGCTGCTGCTGCTGCTGCAGCTGCTGCAGTTGCTGCCCTGTATTCGTGATAGAAGGTAAAGGTCTAGGGTTTAGGGTCTAGGGTTTAGGGACGTCCCTTGCTGTTGCTGTTGCTGCTGCTGCTGCTGCTGCTGCTGCTGCTGCTACTGCATAAAATCCCTGTTGATGGAGTGTATAGAGAGGTCTAGGGTTTAGGGTTTAGGGTTTAGGGTTTAGGGTTTAGGGTTTATTTTTGTTTTTCTGTAGACTATTAGAGGAAGGAATGGAGGCATGGGGACGAACTGCTGCTGCTCTATCTAGCCGCAGCAGCAGCAGCAAACGTTTGCTGCTGCTGTTAGCTGCTGAAGTATTAAGCTTGAGGCAGCAGCTGCTGCAGGGTGCAGCAGCAACAACAGCAGCAGCAGCAGCAACAGCAGCAAATCAACATAAATCATCAGGTAAATAATAAAACATTCCTCCTAGACAACGTCCTGCTGCTGCGGCTGCTGCTGCTGTTGCTGCTGCTGCTGCTGTTGCTGCTGTTGCTGCTGCTGCTGTTCTTGTGTCTTGTGTTATGCTGCTATCTGTACACAAACAAATGCCCTGCTGCTGCTTCTTCTTCTTCTGCTGCTGCTGTTGTTGCTGCTGCTGCTGCAGGTACTATAACAAGGGATCAGCAGCAACAATTATGTATAAATTTATTATATTATAGTAATGAATTGATGGGGGGAGCAGCAGCAGCAGAAGAAGAAGGAAAAATAATTGAGGAAATTTCTTTATTAATAAAAAAAGAAGAAAATAAATCTTTTTTATTGCATGCATATGATGATTATTGTAAATATTTATTATATAAAGGAAAAGCATAAATATATATATATATATATATATATTATTATATTATTACATGCAGCAGCAGCAGCAGCAGCAGCAACAGCAGCAGCAGCAGCAGCAGCAGAAACGGCAGCAGCAGAAGCAGCCGCTCATGTTTTATGGTTGTTTTATTGCATGCATTTTATGTCCTCTATTAATAAAGAGCAGCAGCAGCAGCTGCTGCTGCTGTTGCTGCTGTTGCTGCTGTTGCTGCTGCTGCTGCTGTAGTAGTAGTAGTGACAGCAGCAGCAGCAGCAGCAGCAGCAGCAGTTTTAGTTGTGCAGCTGTTAATCTCCGCATTTATTTGGGCATGCAGGTAGCAGATAACTCTGCTGCCCTGCATGGCTAGCTAGCTAGCTAGCTAGCTAGCCAGCTAGCTAGCTAGACGGGTATATCCGCCTTATGCTGTTGGCTACCTAGCTAGCTAGCTACCTGGTGATTTGCTAGTTGGGTAGCCAACTAGCTAGCTAGCTAGCTAGCTAGCTAGCTAGCTAGCTACGTAATGGCTAGCTGTACAGCTAGCTACTAACAATGTCTTTGTAGGCAATAAACACAAGACAATAAATACAGATAGCTAATAGGAAAAGGAGACAAATAAATAAACATTTATTTATTTATTTATTTATTTATTTATTTATTTATTTATTTATTTATTTATTTATTTATTTATTATACCTTTATGGTTTATTTCCTTATAAGAAGTAAATATAAACAAACAACAAAAGTTATTAGCATAGACTTCTTAGGTTAACCGCATGCATGCATGCATGCATACAGAGCTGCATGCATGCATGCAGGGATGCATGCATACAGAGCTGCATGCATGCATGCAGGGATGCATGCATACTAAGTTGCATGCATGCATGCATGCATGCATGCATGTGTGTGTATAGGAGAAAGTAGTTGTTCTACGACGTTGGGGTGTATAGGGAGAATAAAGGGAAATAAAAAGGATTTATAATATTAATAAAGTATAATATTAATAAAAATAAATGAATAAATTATAATAATAATAAAATAAACAAAGAAGGAAGAAGAAAAAAGGGTTTTATTTAGTTGTTTCTTCTTTTTTCTTCTTCTTAGTACCTGTTATATAACAGGAAGACAATAAAAGGAGAAGAAGGGAGGTAATTAGTTTATCTTCTTCCTAATTGAATATAAATAATAATAAATATATTATTAATACTTTTATTCATTTAATAATATATAAAATATACATAAAATTAAATTAAATTATCCTTCCTTTTATTCATTTATACACGCAATCGATGACCCCCTTGGGGGCCCCCATGGGGGGCCCACTAGGGGGCCCACAGGGGGGCCCCTATATAAGGGAATAAAGGGCTTATTTAAGGGTTTATTTATTGCAAATAATTAATTTATTTAATTAAATTAAAATATTATATATTATATATTTAATATTATAAGAAGTAGAGATTCATTTCCTTAAGAAGAGCTGCCTATACACCTGAATAATTTCAGGTGTAAAGGCAGCTTTCTTTGCAGATTCCCATCTTGAATACTCACAAGTATAATTTCCTTGATGTATGTTTAATAAACCCTATAAATATGTATTTTTTTAGATAATTTATATAATAATTAATGTATTTTCTTTATTTTATACTTTTTTAAGCATTTATTTCCTTTTTCTTCTTCCTCTGTTTCAGCAACATGTTCCTTCAATCAGCAACAACAAAAGAATGCAATTTCTCTCCTCCTCGATCAATTCATCGAGGATTGCATGCATATTATTTAAATTATCTTTTCCTTCTTTTTCTTCTTCTTCTTTATTGCCGTCACATTTAACTTCTTCTCCTTTTATTTCCTCTTTTCTTCCTTCTTCCTCCCTACCTCTAAGGCCTCCCTGCGGGTGTGTACAGAATACCACGAGGAAGCTATGGGCAACGAAAAGCTCCGTAGGCTGCCGCAGCAGCACCTGCTGCTGCGGCAGCAGCAGCAGCAGCAGGAACAGCAGCAGCAGCAGCAGAAGGACTATTTCTTCTGCAATTCAATTCAATGTTTGTCTTGAAGGGAAGAAGCAACATCTGCAGCAGAAATGGATCCATAAGACACAAGGACGACTTATTTCAGGTGCTGCTGCTGCTGCTGCTGCTCCTGCTGCTGCTGCTCCTGCTGCTGCTGCTGCTCCTGCTGCAGCATATGACTATACATCAGCAAAAGATTTAACACAACAAGCTATTAATAAACTAATAAAAGAAGAGTCTCCTTCCTCACGAATATATTTATCTGTCCCTCTTGCTGCTGCACTTGATGCTGTTGCTGCTGCTAACGCAGCAGCAGCAACTGCAGCAGCAGCGGCTGCAGCAGCATCTGTAGATGCAGCAGCAGTGACACCAGAAGCAACAGCAACAGAAGCCCCAGCAGCAGCAGCAACAGCAGCAACAGCAACAACAGCAGCAGATGGAGACGACAGCAGTTTATCTGAATATCAGCAGCAGCAGCAACAGCAGCAGCTGCAGCAGCAGCAGCAGCAAACACGAATAATTGAATCCCTGTTTGCTGCAGCATGGGGATTTCCTGCTGCTCGTGTCTCCTTTATAGAGTTGGATAGACACCGCATAAACCTTCGTAATAAGATAAAGCAGCAGCAGCTGCAGCAGCTGCAGCAGCTGCAGCAGCAACTGCAGCAGCAGCAGCAACAGCAGCAACAGCAGCAGGAGAAGGAGCCTATTCTGCTGCCTTTTTTAGTTCCTAAGGATTTATCTGGGGTGTATGTACACCCCAATAAACAAACAAATAAAGAAAATAAAATAAAAGGAATAAATAATATTTATATCTTGCTGCTGCAGCAAACAGCAGCAGCAGCAGCAACAGCAGCAACAGCAGCAGCAGGAGATGGATCGCCACAACTCGTGCTGCAGCTCATTAAGGGAGATATTCAGCAGCTGCAGCACATTACTAGCCAGTTGCTGCAGCAGCAGCAGCAGCAGCAACAGGAGCAACAGCAGCAGCAGCAGCAGCAGCAGCAAGGAGGAGGGACTTTTGGTGAGGAAGAAGCTGCTGCTGCTGTTGCTTTGCTGCAGTCTATTGCTGCAGCAGATATTTCTATTGCTGCTTCTCTTGGTCCTGCTGCTGCAGCAACAGCAGCAGCAGCAGCAACAGCAGCAGCAGGAGCAGGAGACAATCCTTTGTCTCCTTCTTCTTCCTCCTCCTTAATAGATGTAGTAAATGAGGACAATGCTGTGTTGCAGCAGCAGCAGCAGCAGCAACTGCAGCAACTGCAGCAATTGCTGCAGCAGCTGCTGCAGCACAATGCAGAGTGTCTTGCTGCTGCTGCAGCAAAGTTGCCTACTTATTTGCTGCTGCATGCAGTTGCTGTCTTAGTACATCTTAATACAAAAAGATTATATTCTTTCTTATCTCCGCAGCAGCAGCAGCAGCAGCAGCAGCAGCAGCAATTGCTGCTGCTGCTAGCAGCAGCAAAAGAACCTCTGCTGCAGCAGCAACGTCATCTTAATCAATTCTTAGAGGAAGAAGAAGATGATGAACAAGACGAAGGCAGCAGCAGCAGCAGCAGCAGCAGCAGCAGCAGCAGCAGCATAAGCAGCAGCAGCAGCAGCAGCATAAGCAGCAGCAGCAGCAGCAATAAATTATGCATAGATATATTAATTTATTTAATTAGTTTATTTAGTTATATAAATAAAATAAATAAAAAAATAAATAAACAAATAAATATTTATTTATTTATTTATTTATTTATGGATATTATTGGTAAGTTTATTTTATTTATTTATTTATTTATTTATTTATTTATTTATTTATTTAATTTATTTATTTATTTATTTATTTATTTATTTATTTATATATTTATATAAATATACACATTTAATATAAAATAAACATAAATAAATAAATAAATAAATAAACAAATAAATAAATAAATAAATAAATAAT